TGTTAGGAGTAGGATCTGAGTGGAAGTAATATAAGACTTCTGGTGTCAGACTCTTGAGGTTGGTTTTCGCGGATGAAGCAACAGGGTGGTATGAACAGTGTCTCTGCAAGTAACTCTTGTATTGTACTTGTACTCGTAACTTAAGTAATTGAACACAATGAGCCATAAGGGCTACATTGCCTATGCTATATACCTATGGTGCTCGTAGCCCTCGGTCAGAGGAGTCCGAGTATTGCTCGGTGGCTGGCGCACGAGGGGCTTTCCTCTGTGGCTTATGTACGAGGAGTCTGCCAAGACCCTTCCTCGTGCATAGAGGTCCGAGGAGGTCACGTGATCCTCCCTTACTCTACAAAGAGGGCGGGGTTGACTGGCTGTCGTCGTTCCCTTAACTTAACCGCTGTGCCTTCCTCCCTCAGGTTCGTAATAGCGCTACTCTTAGCTACTAAGGAACTATAAATATAGCAATTACTCTTAGACATATAAACTCAAAAGATATAGTAAAACTAGTTAATTTCAACGTTTACCTTAAAACTATATAGCCTAATATTTAAAAGAATTATTTTATTGATTTAGGTAATTTGTCCAAGATTAAAATAGTATATTAAGAACTATATAACTTTACTTAATAGAACCTTAATAATACAAAGTTAGCAAGGATATTACTGAAATAAGTAGTAAGGCTAAGAAAGATAGTAGCTAACGCAAGTATCAGACTAGATAACCTTATATATATCACTCTAAACAGATAGTTTTAGACTATTAAACTTATAATACAATAAAAGCATAAACTAATACTATGAATTTTAGTTAGAGATTACTAATAATTTTTTAACTATAAGTAATATTACTCTACTACGTATAGTAAAGAATATTAGTAATAAAGAACTCTAAAGCTAAGGTATAAAGCATTACATAATGTAGCGCTTAATTAGTCTATATAAAGCCTAAATCTATATTAGCCTTAGACCTTCTTAGCTACTTGCTAGATTACTAAGCGCACTTTAGACAGTATTTTAGTAAGAAACTTTAGTAATATTAGATGTAAAGACTATTTACGCTAGTACCTTGGTAGTATAAAAGATAGGTACTTTTACTAAAAAAGCCCAAGAACTGTACTATAGTTATATAAGAAATACTGTTTTAAATTTACGTCGACTTTAAAGCGCACGTATAAGAATATATAACTAGTTATTAGACTAAGTAGCTACTAGGTAAATTGACTAAACACTAAATAATACCATAACTAAAAATAATATTAAGATTATTAATACTTTGTAAGAGGTATTTAAGAAAGACTATTAATCTGCTAATAGAAGCTTTTTTTTTACTATTATAAGCTGAGCTATGAATTAATAAAAATCTTTGATAAACATGAAAAGATTCATCTTTTATAATATATAGTACTAAGAATGCTACGCTTAGAATAAGAAAGTCTAGACAGTCTATATATGCTATACCTACACTATTACTACTACTAGGGGCATGATCATTATTACTAATAACCTTAATCAAAATTTAATAGTCTAGACCGTTTTAGCTCTCTATATACTTAAGCTAAAATAAAGAAATATCAAATTATATTCTTTGATAGGTAGTCTCCTCCTTGTGCACTACTACTAATACTAATAAAATAATAACATAGCTAGCTACTACTACTATCCTAAGCTTCGCGTATCTTTTAATAAGCTAGACTAAGACAAAATAAGTAAGATAACAAGATAGAACTGGCTTTATAAGTAATATAAAAAGAAAGGTTCTATCATAGTGAAGAGCTTTATATAGCTATAGAAGAAATGTATTAGGCTATTCAGAAATAAGAGCTTCATAATTTATAACTACTACTTGCGCTATATCTAAAAATAGAAGAACTTAGGAAAGTCTTATATAATATACCAGTTACTGGTCTGATGGATTATTTATACTAATGTTAAGTACTAGCTCTTATATAACGTGGTTCATAAGCGAGTCGGTCACCCAAGCGAGTCGGTCACTCCCCACTAGCGCGTTGACGTTGACACGTTATTACAGTCTTTTATTACAGTCAATAAACTATTGTAATATACTAAATTAATTGTTAGAATCGCTACTATTACTTGCACTATCTATCTTAACTGCGCAGGTACGAGCGTTGTGTCTAGTCTGCTTGCAACGCCCGCACCGCCGCTCTCCTCGCACCCTCTTCGACGCACTCTCACCATCACCACGACTGCTACCCGCCTGTTCAGCTAATACTTCTTGTACTTCGCCTACAGTAAGAGTATCTTCTGTCTGTACGTATCGCCGCTTGCGGCTCTTACGCTTATTTGCTGTGTCTAGAGCCTCTCGAAGAGCAGCTACTTCCTCCCTTATAAGCGTCATCTCATGTGCTATTTGCTGAGCCCCTTTACTTAGCTGTACAACCCTCTCGTTAAGAGAATTTGCAGAAGACCTAGGGCGGTTTCTTACTCTCTGTCGAATAAGAGTACTTTGAGCCTCAACCTCGCGCGCGTTGCGTGGTGTCTGCGCCTGCCAGGCGGCTGTCCGTCGTGGTGATTGTACTGGCGTCTGCACCACTACATCAAGCTTAGATAGCACAGCCTGTGGGTCATGTGGGACTAGACCAGCGCCTCTAAAGCTAGCTTGGATATTCTCCTTTGTAATAGACTGCTCAAAAGCAGCCTTAAAGGCTGGTAGGAAGGTCTCCTTGCTGATATAGTGGGTG